GCCATTGGCCTTCTTGGCACACTGCTGACTCATGGTCAGCACACTGCTGGCTCATGGTCAGCTTTCTATCTATCCAAACTCCCAGGTCCCTTTCTGCCTGGCTACTCTCCAGCCACTCTGTCCCCAGCCTGGAGCACTGCATGGAATTGTTATTTCCTTCCTCCCCCCCTTAAAAACAGGGCTTCTGCAACTGGACTGAAGTTCACAGCTTTCCTACAATGCCCCTTCAGAGCATGATGTCCTGTTCATGTCAAGAACTGATAAAAAATGTCCAAGGCATTCACTCAGTAAGCAGACAGACAGTACCCTCTAAACAGCACTGGCTCCTCACCCCTGCATTCTTAAATAATATCTGCAAATTCCCCAAAGAACACACACTCCATCACTTCTAATTCTAGGCTTCTGCTGTCTGACCAGCCTTTTCATATTTAAATGGACAATGCTGTTTTGGCCAAAAGGGTAGGCTGGGTTGGGTGAGCATCCTGTATCCACATCTGGAATGAGATACAAGTTGGGCCTAAAAGCAAAACAACCCTCCAAGGGCTTCCATTTTTTCCCCCCAACACCTACTTTTCAGATGCTATTACAATCTCCTGAGTGTTGTCTGGTTCTGCTGTTTCCAACCTTTTTCCTGCAAAATAAAAATAATTCAATTTACTTTCAAAAATAGGATGTAGGTGAGACCAATGTTGAAGATCTATATAAAAGAAAAGCTACAGAAAACAGTATCAAAACAGTATCTATAAGTACACTTATTTTTTTGCAGAAGGTAAGATACAATTCACAAAGCTGGATTAAATTCTTCTGCTCCATTATTAAGATCCCCTCTAAAGACTCTTTCAAATTATGTCCCACTCATTCAAAATTACTTTTTCTGTCAAAGGAAAAAAGAAGGTGGATGAAAGATGTAGTAATACTCAGCAAGGAATCACTTGCTTTTCCCAGTTGTTCCATAAAGTGCCAACACTGTAATGCATAAACACTGAGGCAGAACGTTCATTCACATTATGTCCATGTGCTGCTTTGCCTCATCTCTCTCTTCCCAGTCCCAGCACGACTGGCTTTCATCATGCAGACACAGTAGTTTAAATATTATGCACCAACTCCTGAATGGCAATTTCTATTATCTCCTAAAGATTCAAATTTGCAAATGTTTATGTGAATAAGTAACTTTACATTCTAATGAGCTCAACAAGGAAGTCTCTCAAGCTCAAGACTCTCTGGTTTTTCCCCCCACTAGAACAGAACATGTGTTTTTCAGTGCTACCTGAATGATACTTTCAGGCTCACAAAATTCATCAACCCAGAAACTGACCTGCATTTTCTTCTTTTTGTTGCTGTTTTATTTCATATACACAGTTTTGTGATATGCCTAACTTCTTTGGCCAAATTGGAATAGATAAGATTCTTTGTCCCCTTGGAAACTCTTCTTGTCCAGAGACCTGAGAAAGACCAAAGGAGCTTATTTTTAGACATAAATCTGATTTTTAAAAAAAACAAACCCCCCCCAAACAAACCTAAACTAAGTGAACACTTTTGGTAAAGTTTTAAGCAAAAAAAGCAGCCTCAGCCCCTTAGAATAAATCTTCTATAATGGCTTCCCAAATCTCTGTAAAAAAACTACCCTTTATGTACATCCCCTTTGTTTATGTTTAGGAAGTTCTTTGCAGCTACCCAATTTTTCCAGACAGTTTTTGTGAAACTGAGGGACTACCAAGAACACTTTCAGCAACATGACAGGCCTGGCTGAGTGTACAGAACTCTCCAGCAGATGCTGACTTTAGCTTCAGGATGCTTACTCTTCTGAGAGCAAGTCAAGTCAAAGCAGGGTGTGAAACAAGTACCCACTAGCAAAGAACACCAGTGAGGCTGTTTTTTGGTCATGTTTTCCCACTGTATGTATTCCAGTTACTTAAACAGCCTGTGACACACCCAAACAGCTTGACACAAGAGCTCACAACAGAAGATCATTTAACATGAAACACTTGAGGTTCAACAGATAACTGCATTTTTGCTTCTACAATTTTTCCAGTCACCAACTTCATCTAAAATAAGAGTCATCTTCCCATGGAGTGCACAGGATGTATTTGATTAAGTAATTATTTTATCCTACTTAAAGACTGGGACACTTACACAGTGATACAATTGTCCTGCGGATAACTACATTTCAAGAACAGTTGTTGGGGAGCTTTTCCTTTTGGAATGCTGGAAGTGAATACAATATTCCCTAAGGAATGTAAGTACTGCAGTAACTTTTGCCTTGCAGACTGCATAGAGAGCACTAAGACAGCCACTTGCAATGGAAATAATACCAGATACGACATGCTAGCACCACTCAAATATTTCCCTTTCAGCAGCATTAACCTTTCTTTGTGAGAAGTGAGAAGCATAGCCTACCTTCCCTATAGCAAGTCCTGCATAATTTAACTTTCCTTCCTTTATAAATCTGTACAATGGAGAACCAGGAACAGAATTGAAGTCACCACAGATGATAATTGGGCAGAAGGTACCATCCTTCTGAGGGGCAACACTAGCAATCTCTGCCAGGAGCATTGCAAGCTGGGTCAGTTTGATGTCCCCTCGCCTTGGGTTGTAGAGCAGGTGTGTGTTGGCTACGCAGACTGCAGCGTTAGTTTTGGAGTGAAATCTAGGCTGCAAAAGCAACACCAGTCCAACGTTGTCCCTGTCCAAGAGTGGAATATCATGGCGAAAGAATTCCACGGGGTTTGATGAAATCAGGCTAAATTTGGAAGTTTTGAAGCAAATGGCACAGCCGTCAGGTTTTCTCCCTGTCCTCATTTTATACTCACAGTGATACCCTGCAAGAAAGACAATTAAATACATAAAATACCACTGTATAAATAGAGATTTTGAAACAAAAATATTAGAAAAGCCTCACACTGCTTTTCTCATGACAGTCAACAACCAGTCTGAAGTACCAAAGGCTATGTGAAATTCAGATACAAAAGTGACCACAAGAGTCTTTCTGTCCTATCTAAACTGAATCAAGACAGGACAGGAAACCTGATCCAATACCCTTTGTAATGTGTAAACAGCTACATAGTTTAAGATAGCCATGTTCTTCTCTCCTCATGTGGACAAAAAAACCCCAAAGCAAAATGACAAAAAAGCCCCACAAGTCACATATAAGTGGACTTGTGTACTGAAGTTTTTACTGGATGTTACCAGAATGGTTTAGGAATAATACCAGTGAAGCATTCCAGTCAAAAGCCTCAATCACTCTAAGCCATAAATCAATGTCTAAAATGATTCATAGAACAAAGGTCTCAAACATGTTTACACAACTATGCAATTATCCCATTAGCAGCAATTGGAAAGCTTTCAAGAGGGAAACTGAGACACTTATCAAATGACAGCACTGGAGTTCAGCCAAGTCCACCTAAAAATAGTGATTTACCAGATAAGCAAGATAATTTAGATCTTGAAACAGTATCTAGTTTTTGCCACTTAAAAATGCTTCTCTGTCCCATCCATACCATATGAAATACAGCCTCAGTGAAGTGGGGCAAGTTGACCTCTGAGCTCACATCATTGCTAGAACAAGGGATCTACATGGGAACTCCCATCTCCCAGCTTCAGGCCATGTTGCTCCTGCCACTTGCTGTGGCACTTACTGCTAACTCAGTAAGCCACCAGAGAACTAATCTAGAAAAATAAAATTAGTCTGGATAGTATTTTGCTGGACTCGTGGATTTCACCACGGTAAAGGTCTAGTGAGTGGCAAAGAGAGCCCGGGAGAAGGGACAGGACATGCATCTGGGAGCTAGGGAGAGAGAAGAAAAGAGCTAAAGCAAATTCCACATCTTCATGTATAGTAGCTAGAAGCTCACTTGCCCACATAAGCCTGGCCCTAGAGTGTTTCACATTTCAAGTGGATTTAAATCAGTAATGCCACTACCCTACTTTGTTTATAAATACTCAATTCTGGGAGCTAAACTACCTCCACTAACCATGAAAGAAAAAATTATCAGTCCAGTGCTGCTGCTTCACTGGCTTCTCCTGGGATCAGACAAGTACCAGTGCCAGGATGAGAGTGGGAACCTGGAACTGGAAGATGGTGCAGGGCACAAAACACTGAGATCAGTTTAACCCACCATAAAATCAGACTCTTAGCAACATGCTCCTTCCATAAATTCACATGAGGGAGAGTGACAAGACAGTGCTACTTAGACTGACTGACAGCACTAGTAGAAAAGCTAATGAATATATACTGACCATGGATAAAATTCAGTGCTGATATTTGGAAGCTTTGAAGCCAGAAAAACATGCCTATGAAGAGCGATCCAACAGGAATACTGGCAATAAAACACTATGCTAGTTTAAAGGGAGCATTTGATGAATTTATAAAGGGGGTACACAACATTGTTGCACATGATGACAGGAAAACTGAGATTCTACAAGAGATTAGTTTTTAGGAAAATAGTACTGGAGCAGGCAAGAAGACAGTATCTTGGTCCTAAGAGTTTCATCATACCCAGGGATTCCAAACTTGACTTGATCTCTGTTCTATAGTGGTCTTCTTGGACTTCTTGTAAACAGAGCACCTAAGACAAAAATTTACAATTAAAATGTATTAGTAAGTGCATGAAAATATTACCAGAGCACATCTCTGTTGGCCAGTCTGTACAGGTGTTAGAAGAAATTAAAAAATCAGAAGCTTTTTGACTCCATAATCCTACAAAAGGATTCACTGCCTTACAGAAAATCTCCTCAGGATTACAAAGAAGGCCCCAACTCCTCCCACTCTTTCTTAGACATACGTTTTCAGATGTGAGATTAAATTTAATCAAAACATTGACCTGCTAATATAGTCTCAGCAGTTCAGGGAGGGCTAAGTGCCAGAGCAGTGGGATGAAGAGGCCAATGGCATACTACAGAGTGGACAACAAGCTTCCATATTATAAGAACCTGAATCAAAGATCAACCTCAAAACATTCCATTAGGAAAGCTCTGAGCATCTTGGAGCCTTCTTCCTGCACACAGATTTACAGCCACCTGGGAATGTGATGAAGAACTGGGTTCCCAACGGGTAAGGAGCTACCCCTGCTTGGTGAACTGCAGCAACAGACTCCTCTATCCCACCTGACACCAGCTCATTCAAGGTCTCAAGGGACAGTCAAATCTCAAGCAACAATCTGAAGTCTCTGCTTCACTTTAAGGTTACAGTTCAAACCAATGAAATAGTTAAAAAGCTATGTCCTTTAGCAATAAATTTCTCTGTGGAAAGGGCATCAGTACCTACCAGGGTCTGGGAGCATGCAATACAACACATCACTTCCTTAGCTCAGTGCTGGGTTGTGTGGCTCTGCTGACTTTAGCAAGTACCCCGAGCTGAACTGCTCTTTGCTAGATGGACTGGCTTTGGCTCCAACCCTTCCCTCCTGGAGAACTGTCTGTCACCACTAATAGCACCAGGCAGATGCTCACCAGAGCCCCTCTGACCAATGCTCCTCCCAGAAAGCCCTCTAAGGTATCTCACTGTAAAGATACATACATAGAGTATGCATAAATTTATTAGGAAGAAAGGGCACTTGAAGGGGACTTTAATTTCCACCTTCCTGGCTATATACTAACATAACTGCATTTTTCAAATGGCACAAGGCCATTTTTCTGTAGTTGTAGTAAACCACTTTTTTTCCAGTATGGTTTTCTGACACAAACAGGTTGAATTCCATCACTGTACAATGGTTAGTCTGAACAATGACTGAAGCAAAAAGTTTACTGACTTGACTTCCTAATTAAGACTAACAAGTGATAAGTGTCCTCAAAACCAAATAAAAACCACCACAACCAACCAAAACCACAGTAAAGTGTTGTTCCAGACCCCAATATAAGCAGAAGTTTAGAGTTATGTCTCAGTAGAGAACAGCAAGCTTGTTCAGAAGTCCAATGGTGGAGAGAACCAGATGAACCTGAAATGAACACCTGAGAGGAATACTTCTGAATCAGTCTCACATGAATGCACCTGCAGTTTTCTTGCAGCCTTGAACACAAATGTCAAGAAAATGGAGATCCACATAGCAGGCTCATCACTCCAGTTCTCATACAATCGAGAAAGTAAAACATTTGAGTCTGCCTTCCAAATAAAGGATTCGGACATAAGTTCTCCATTACCTAGTCTAACAAACGGGTCTGATGGATTAGCAGCCAGATTTTAGAAAGGGAGTTTTATTCCCTGACTATACAGAGACTTGGTGTAACTACTACCTAAACAAATATGAAGTCAAGGTCACACACGTGGAAGATAGAAAATACCAGTCCCGGACACTGCCTTAATTTGACCCTTCTGTGTGCACACATACTATTTTCCTCCACAAAAGCCTGGTGTGCAAGATTAATTGTTTGCAAATAGTGACCAGCTATTCAATCTTGCATGTCCTTTGCACTAAGTAACTTAGGGCACAGTTAAAGAGAGAACTTCCAGCTCTGGTGCTTCCCAAACTGTACAGTCTCACAAACCAAGACTCGCCTGGAGAAAGGTGCCCTGTTCTCCTACCCTACACATCTATCATCAGCTACTGTTAAAAACAAGACACTAAACAAGGTGGACCTCTGTCTATACAAGTATCACTGTTCTATGTTCAACACTATTTAGTGCACTCTGCTCAAGCTTGCTCTAGGTCGAGAAAGATTTGTGTGAAGGAAGAAGGTTTTGGAATTCCAAAAAAACTTGCAGTGTACCAGCAGAACATCAAAGTCATGTCAAAAAGATCATTCTGGGAAGTTCCGGACAAAAGAGGCAACACTGAGTGGTATGTGCTGCAGAGCCACACAGAAGACACTAATTGCATAAGTGTAAATCAAAACCACTGTTAAGCATGACATAACTAAAAGCTGTCAGGTCCACAAGACAGCCCACTTATCAAAACAAATGAACAGCAAGAATTTGCTACTTCAGTTTATCACTTCTTAAGGAATATCCACATGCTCATTTTCTACTCACATCTGCATCCAGCTGTTTGATTTCTTGTAGGATGTTGGGAAATCTGTATGTCCAGAATAGCAAACGTTGCCTGCAGTGTTTGTACAGGTGGGAGTTATCTTCCAACAAATTCTGTGACAGGATATTGTAAGACATGACTGTAAAATCAAATTTTGCCTCACTTTCTGCATTGGTTTCGTCAGATTCTTTATTTTCAGAGATTTTCATTGTTCTACTGTGCTGACAGAAATATTCCCAGTGTCTTTTGACAGTTCCTGTTAAAAGCACATGAAGCAGAAAAAAAGTTATGTAACACATCATATGACTTCTTACTGCTCTTAGAAATCCTTCTACTGACAACTATTTTTTTTTCAGATTGCTAAGCAATTCTAAAAGCCTGTTTGATTAGCAATGATTTAGACCCTCTGTTGAAAATGAACTTTACATAGCACAAAACCATTCTATACCCTGATTTCAACCGATTTGAAACTGGGAAACTGACATGTTCTCAGGAGACTGTTGCAGTCCACACTACACCCCCTGCTCTCTGCAGAAAGGCTGTCAAACTGGTAAGCCAAACCCAGTCTGTTGAGAGTCTTACTCTGCTTTCTGCCACTACCTCCTCAGCAGAGGTGGTGTGTGTCAGCCTGGGGTACACTCTTCAGAGCAGCAGATGGGCATCTTGTTGATCTCTCTATCCATGACTAACAAAGGGTTAGGAATCAAAGGATTCACCTCTATCCTGTGTACATCCTATAAAACTCAACCACAAGCTGCAACAGGGGCCACACTACAGAGGTCCCCAAAACAAATAATGAACCTGATTTTCCTCAGTGAGGTTGGAAAATGAAAAAATGATTAAGTTTCAGAATGACCAAGAACTTCTGAGAAGGCTTGTTTTGCCTTCCTGCCATTTCTAATCCCATACTTATTATTTGTATCACTATATCAAAGTTTATAATAACATATCTGCCCATCATTAAGCATCCAATTATTTTCCACATTGGTATTTCTCCACTTAGAAACCTCATGGACAGAGATGTCTTGCTGCCTTTACATCTGAACTCATCTGAGATCACGCTGAGGCCCAGTTACCTGTGCTATCAACCAGCAGCAGATTGTACCCACAGCTGTTACTATCTGCCCTATTTGGGAAGTAAATTTCATTGCTGTTTGTATTATTCAGGACCTTACCTAGTGTTTCCAGTGACTACAGCAAGGCTTTAAGTACTGATTGGATAGGGGGAGGGAAGCCACATGGCTCCTCTGCAGGTGTCTTTAATTACCATCACACTACAACATGTGGTAAATAGGAAGGACCACAATGCCAACCACACCCACAGATAAAGGTATATCAAGGAGGGTTAAGAGAGAACTCAGTGAGATTAAGGCACAAAGCAAGCTCCATTTCTTCAGCTCCAGAAGAAGGATATGATGTTTCTAAGTTTTATGGATATTTGTGTCCAAAATTCCCTTTGGGAGGCTGATAGCATCTTCCAGTTTATTTTGCTAAGGAAGTGATTTATGCAAGAGGGCTTTAATTTTGACTGTGCCCCTATATTTGCTTCACAGTAGACAAAACAGCTAATACTCACAAAACTCAATAAAATGTTTGGATGGTGTGTAGAAGATCCTACCTGTGATAAGCTAACACAAACATTCTGAAGTTTCATGAAAATCTATTACTAAGCTGAGTAGACAACTCTGCACTTCTTACTGTGTTTATCTGGATAAGCACACCTGCTGCTTACTCTGCCAGACATGGTCTGACACAAAACTTGCTAACATGCCAGCTGTAAAACTGAAATCACAAATCACACTGGAAGCAAACACCACCAAATCTCAGTCCGTTAATTCTTGGTTATCTAGGTCACAGATAACTCAACTGGTTTGGAAAGAAACCAATTCAGGTCCAGCAGGGCTTATGAGCTCAGGTAGAGCACAAGGAACGAGGCTACACTACTGCCAGCCCAGCTCAACCCTACAGCAACTCAGCCAAATCTTTTGCCTTTTAAAGAGTTCCCAAGTTACAGACATGATCTAGTGACAGACACCGGAGTGTTGTTTGAACCAAGTTCAGGACTCCCCAAGCTGGGCAAACCCTTGCACAACTGACTGTGTTCTACTGCCAAGTGCAGTGAACCTAGTTCTGGCAGACTGTTTGACAGCACAAAACACGAGCATACAGACTAAACAGCGTTACGAAACTGGAACACTTCGAAGACAGATGTTTTCCTGAGAGGGGTGCCAAGCAAAACAGTAACTCAAAAGGAGCAAGCAATATAGCTCATAACTCACTAGGTGTATTTAGCATTACAAATAAACAAGAAAAATGAGCAAAAAGAATCTTTTACCTTTCTTGCTTCTATCTTTTTCCTCATCCTGTGCTGTAGAAAGACACAATGTTTCCTTCTGATCAGAGGAGTTTGTTTCTCCTTCCGGAGCTGAAGTATCATGCTGGCCACTGAGTCTTCTCTTCTTTGTCAGTGGTTCCTCTCCCTCAGATTTCATACTGGGGTTAGGCAGGTGAAAAGAAGAACCTCTAGTGTAGTTATCAAGGTGCCAATTAGAGTTCTGAAACTGTCTCCAAGGTCCAAAAAATGGATGGAATCTCCAGTTTGCTGAGAAATCAGCCGGAGTAGGAAGTGGAAATGAGGCCCAGGGAGGATAGTGAGTGGCCCATCTCACACAGCTGGAAACTGGGCTGTTCATGGAGAGTATCTGGGAGCCATTCCAGTGGGCGACCCAGTCTCTGCCCAGCCTCTGCACGTGGCGGGGCAGCATGGAGTGTCTGCTGGAAAAGCAAAGGTATCATTACTAGCACACAACTACATCTGCCTGTAGAAGGCTGTTGATGCAAGTCAGCGTGGTCACAACTTATACAAGATATTATTTCTCTGCAAGTTAACACATACAAGATATTCAAACCATTTCAGATATATACAAGGTATTTAAACATTTAGCTAAACAATATGCAAAGTGGGAGTTCACAGTGATCTTGCATCCTTTTTCTCCCTTCAGATTTACAAATGCCATTCAGGGTCCGAACCCTATCCAGCTGAATAACTACACAGAATTTATTTTCTGCCACGTAGAATTCAACTATCAGATCTGTCAAGTGATCAGGGGAACGACCTTTTTCAGAAAGGCCATTTTTGCATGCTGCATTAACTCTATCACAAGGCTATTTGAAAGGAATCAGAAAACCACTTTCCTTCAGGCAGGTAGGGTTGGACTCTATGATCTCTGAGGTCTCTTCCAACCAGGCTGATTCTATGATTCTATGAATTTGTTTAAAAAGCCACTGACTTGGCTCAAACTGCAACACCAACATGACAGCGAAATAAAGAGACTAACCCTCACGGTGTCTCTGGCACCAGCTTGAGACTAAATTTGTATTCTTACTTCTCTTCCAGGAGGGCAAACCACAGCTTAGCAATTGAAATAATGAAAATTAGGTGGGTTTTTTTCATTCTCCTCAGGAGAAAAAAAACCCAGATAAATCTGTGTCTCAACGAGATCGCGGGAAGGCAGGCCCAGTGACAGTGATCCGTCTCGGCTTCCTGACTGTTTAAACAAGAAGGTGTATTTTGAGCTTACAAGCAAAAGATAACAAAGCTGG